AGCTCACAGCAACCTCCAACTCCTGGGCTCAAGTGATTCTCTTGCCTCTGCCTCCCAAGTAGCTGGACTACAGGTGCCCGCCACAATGCCTGACTATTTTTTGGTTGCAGCTGTCATTGTTTGGCGGGCCTGGGCTGGATTTGAACCCACCAGCTCAGGTGTATGTGGCTGGCGCCTTAGCCACTTGAGCCACAGATGCCAAGCCCAGCCCCTTTTTATTGATGAGAAAACTGAGGGTCAGAGAAGTGAAGTGTCCTCGTTGCCAATAAATGGTCAACTCAGGATCCAAACTCATCTTTATCCCCCAGCTTTCACCCTTACCCCTTGTCTTGATTTGGATAGTGTCCCTCCAAATTTATGTTCACTCAGAACCTCAGAATGTAACCTTTTTCAGAAATAAGGTCTTTATAGATGTAATTAGTTAAAATTAGAGTGGGCAATAATCCAATGACTTATGCCCTTATAAGAAAGTCATGTGAAGATGCCCAGTGGGAAGAAAGCCATGTGAAGACAGAGGCAGAGATTGGAGTGATGCAACTGCGAGCTAAAGAATTTCAAGGATTTCTGACAACCACTAGAACTCAGGAAGAGGTTAAATAAATGAATAAGGAATGGTTAATTTTCCATAGAGCCTTTGGAAGGAACATGACCCTGCCCACAGAAAATGTCTGTTGTTGTTTCAAGTCCCCCAGTTGTGGGGAACTAATATCCCTCCACTACCCCCAACAGTTTCTTGTTTCCACAGCGCCTAATGGAGCCTGTAAACTCTTGAGACAAGTCATGCCCCTCCTCTGCATAGAACCCTCCATGGCTCCCACTTTACTCAGAGAAAAATCTGATGTCCTCTCTATGGTCCCAAAGGTCCTGCACAACCTGTCTTTCTGCCCTCACCTTCTCCCACCATCTTGCCTCCCTCTGTTTCAGCCACAAGGGCCTCTTGGCTGTTTTGCCAACATGTTTGGCACATTTGACTCTCAGGGCTTGTGCACATCGTGCCCCCTCTGCTTGGAACACTCTTTCCTTAGTTGTCTGTGTAATGTGCTTCCTCACCTCCTTGGGAGTTTTGTACAGATATCATCTCATGAAACCTTGCAAAGTGACACCCCCATTTTCTCAATCTCCCCTTTCCCACATCATTTATAACATTCCTTATCATTCATGTCTATACATGTGTTATCCTCTTTGGCTGTCTCTCCTTTTCCCTCAGAATGTCCACACCACGAGGGAAGGGATTTTTATCTGTGTTGTTTGCCCAGGGTCCCCAGTGTTTAAGGCAGCACGTGGCACTGTGCAGGTGGATGATAAATGTTTGTGGGTGGAAAGAAACACTGTCTGTGGGCTTGGGAGACCTTTGCTTATAACTCTGCACCCCTGCACAATCCTCTGGACTCCCTAAGTCTTCCCCCTGGGGATGCAATCTGTCTTTGAGGCTTTTGGCTTTCCTATCTCCCTCTTTCCTTTCTCTTCCTCCCTTCTTTCTTTCCTTCTTTCTCTTCCTTTTTCTCTCTCTCATCTTCTCTCTCTCTCTACCTTCTCCCTCCCCTTCCTTTCTTTCTGTATTTCCTTCTTTCAGCAAACATTTTCAACTGTGATTAGCCAGACCTGTTTTCCTCCCAGAAGGACTCAAATAGGAACAGCAAACCCTGAACAGACTATTTTCAAATTCTCATTGAGCCCCCTAAATCTCTGTGGGTCTCAGGACCTGAATCTTTTCTTCATCTCGGAGCTCAGGACAGATCAACCTCTCCCCCATCTTTGGGCTCTGGTCACACCAGTCTCTTTCCCCCTTCCTCAAACATGCCATGGTCTCAGAGCCTTTGAAGCTGCTACTCTCATTGTCTGGAATTCTTCCCATTCTCCCTCTACAAACTCCTATTCTGTCCTCAAGTTGCTGCTTAGTGTCAGTTTCTTTTGGAGGCTTGCTCTGATACCCTCACGGCCAAGCATGACCTCTGTTAAATACTCTGTCCTGGTATTTTTCCCCATGGAACTTAGCACACTTGTGATTAAAGCAATTGCTAATAATTGTATTATTTGGTGAACTTCTGTCACTCCCCAACCCACACTAACTTATGAGCCTGACAGGGCAGGGGTTATAATTGACTTGTTTACTGTGGTGTCTCCTTTCTGCCCAGCAAAATCTGGTACTAGATAAAGCAGTTGCTAGACAAATGTTTGCTGAATGAATAACAAGTGAGTGAATGAATGAATGATGTGAAAGGTGCAATGATAGACAGGCACAAGGCTGGTGTTTAGGGGAGACTTCTTGGAGGAGATGGCATCTGGGCTAAGTCTTGAGAGAAAACATAATTTGGCCATGTTCACGCAGAGGGCAGCAGAAACAAAGATGCGGACATGAGTTTGAGGAGGCTGTGAGCAGGGAGAGGTGAGGCCTGGGAGGGGATACAGACATAGGCAACTGCGAACCATAGAAGGTGCTTGAGCAGGGGAAAGACCTGTCAGGCTGTGCTTGAAAGAAGTTTCTGGAGGCCGATGTGGGGGAACACTTAGTGGGGTTGTGTGTCCTAGCTGGAGGATGGAAGACTCAGTCACAAAGGGAGGAAGCCCAGGGCTGTGATGTGGGGGTGAGGGAGTGACTGGGTCCTGGATGTGCCCAGCCTCACCTATGTTGTCACAGAGCACAGGGGGGCCCAGACTAGGGGAACATGATCCTCAGCACTGAGCCTCAGCTGTCTCCTGTTCTCATTCTACCTGAGAGCAGATCAGGACCCTGAAATCCCCCTTCTTGGCATGTGGAGTCCTGGGTTTTGTTTGAATGACACAGGGAGGCGGGAGCCACCTACATGGATGTCATGACCACTGGGTCCTTCTCCAAAAAGTGTCCATCCTCTGCCTGCCTCTGGGTGATGATCCAGTTGGCAATGGCACAGAGAGAGGACAGGTCAGGCTTACTGCTTTTCATTGTGGGGAAGGCCAGAGAAAAGACCTGGAACACTAGGTCATGAGCCTTTGGGGAAGGAGAAAGGGATAACTGGGATCAGCCCCTGAGGAGCCCCTGGAGTAGAGACATCCACATTGTGGGGGTTCTACGCCCCAGGCTACGCTGCTCCAGACTGACCCTCTCCCCATCCACCGCTCCTCAGGCTGCCAGCATGAGATGCCACCAGGCTATGTGCTTAACTCCTTTAGAGCCCAAGACCCTGCAGTGTGATGCTCCTGGGTCCTCCAGCCTCATGCTGGGCCCTCACACTTCTGGGGCGGTGGTGGCAGGAGATACAGAATCACTCTCACCAGGTGCCTCCTGGGTTCCCCTTGGAGGTGTGGTAGGTGGTAGGTGCCGTCTGCACTCTGGTGTGTCAACATCCCCGTAGCCTGGGGAAACAGAGCAGGGCTTGCAGGGAGAGTAAGTGTTTGGGCATGGCCTGTGAGTGGGTGTCGGTTATCAGGAACAGTCCAGAGGAGACAAGGTCTGGGGATGACTCAGTGGTGTGTCACACCTGGAGGTAACCAGAAGGAGGTGTATTAAGGAGGGGGCCTCAGGGCTTAGGTGTAAGTGAAGATCATGGTGAGTGTATGACTTTAGGGGACCCAGGATGTGTTTGTTCATATATGTCTGGGAGTAATCTGGGAAACTGCCACCTTGGGGACTCCGGGGAAGGGTATGCCTAGGAATTCTGCTTGAAGGGATAATAAAAAGTGTTATCCAGGTGTAACTTGGGACAAAGAACAATTTGAGAGGACCTACCTGGAATTTTTTTTTTTTTTTGAGACAGAGTCACACTTTGTCACCCACTTCACAGCTCACAGCAACCTCAAACTCTTGGACTCAAGCAATGCTCTTGCCTCAGCCTCCCAAGTAGCTGGAACTACAGGCGCCCGCCACAACACGGTGCTATTGTTTTTGGTTGCAGTTCAGCCAGGATGGGGTTTGAACCCGCCACCCTTGGTATATGGAGATGGCGTTCTACTCACTGAGCCACAGGCACTGCTCCCGGCTATTTTTTGGTTGTAGTTGTCGTTGTTTGGCAGGCCAGGGCTGGGTTTGAACCCCACCAGCTCCAGTGTATGTGGCTGGCGCCCTGGCTGCTGAGCTACAGGTGCTGAGCTAGTATAAAAGTACTTATCACAGGGTCCGGTGTGTGTGTGGTAAGACCCCACAAACTGTGTGCTCACTTTAAACTCCAGAAGCAGGCAGACACAGACAGATTTCTGTGGAAAGCAACTCTGTCGAAGACCCAGTAGCCTTGGTCAACATAGAACAGGGCCTGAGGATTTGGGCCTAAAAACCCATCTTCAGTGACTCTGGCTATGCAGCTGTTAAGCCTGCGAGGCAAGGGTTAAAAACCTTCCTGCAGAGACACAGTCTAGAGGTTGGTAAGTGTAAGCTTATCGGAAAATGGCGTGGCCTCCAGGTTGCCGTAGACACAGGAGCCAAAAATTTGCTTTCTGTAATACAATGAGTGCATAGTAAAACTCCAAAGCTTTACTCCCCTCTTGGCAGTCTCAAGTCTCTAGACATACTCCCTTTTGCAGCTGTCTCGAGGTTTCAAACTTTGTGTCTTTTTGAAGGTTGAACTAACTTCAGAAAAGTAGTATGAATGCTTTGCTTGTTAATTAATAAAGTGTACGTGACCAGCCAACTATAAAAAGGGGTCATGAACAATAAAGTTTTGCTACTTGCCACCAAAGAGTGGGTAGTCTGTCTCTATCAGACTGATAATCCCAAGGGCGAGCTTACACCTGTGGTGAAGCTGCCTGTCTCTCATGAAACCCTCACGCAGCAGGTGTGTAATAAATAGAAACTGTCATTGATACTACAATTTATAGCTGACAAAAAGTCACTGCTAGTTGTCTCCAATATCCATTCTCCTCCCTCATATGTGGCAACAAAATCCTCATCTTTTATAGACCACCCAGAATAAAAACTACATTTCTCAGCACCAGCATCCCTTGCACTTAGGTGGAGCCATGTGATTGAGTTCTGGCCAATGAGATGTGAAAGAAGTGTCCTCCCCTTCCCTCTTCTTTGCATTCTATTGCCTGGTGTGAGTCATGGTGAAGTGCAAGTTTGTAATATGGCATTGAAACAACCTACAAGGAGTCTAAGTCTTCTGAGGATGACCTCTGGACTGTTTTTGTGTGAGAAATCTTACCTTGTTTAAGCTATGGTTGATTTGTATTTCTGAATCTCTCTGATACACAGGATAAAATCTATGGTCTTTTTTTTTTTTTTTTAAGAGACAGAGTCTCACTTTGTCGCTCTGGGTAGAGTGGCATGGTGTCATAGCTCACAGCAACTTCCAACTCCTGGGTTTAGGTGATTCTCTTGCCTCAGCCTCCCGAGTAGCTGGGACTACAGGCGCCCACCACAACACCTGGCTAATTTTTTTGTTGTTGCAGTTTGGCTAGAGCCAGGTTTGAACCCACCACTCTCGGTATATGCGGCTGGCGCCCTACTCACTGAACCACGGGTGCCACCCTCTATGTAGGTTTTTTTGAGTCAGGGTCTTGCTTTGTCACCCAGGCTGGCATGATCCTAGCTAACTGCAGCCTCAAACTCCTGGGCTCAAGCAATCCTCCCACCTCAGTCTCAAGAGTGACTTGGACTACAGGTATATGCCATCGTGCCTGGCTAATTTTTCCCTTATAGAGACAGGGGTTTTGGATATGGTGGAGGGATTTGGTGGAGGAACATGACATTGGCTGCACAGCAGGCAATGGGAAATCCCAGACCTGGAAGTCAAGAGAGGAGCCTGAAATTGGGACATATCAGAAGGAGCAAAGGTGTTCCGGAATTGAAGGCTCAAATAACACTTATCATACCATTTCCCATTTATTGGCTCTTACCACCTTTTAGTTGCTATGCTGTTCACCATCTCTTGAATACTTGCAAACATTGATGTTGCCCATTTTACAGCTGAAAAGGCTGAGATTCAGCTAGAATCTCCAGTCAACCTCTTGGCCCAAAGCCTGCATGCTCTCACCTTCTTCTGAGTGAGCTTGTGTTTCCTGCTCAAGACATACACCTCTTTGTTCACAGCCACTAGCACCAGTATGGCTTCTGCATCACCTGTCACCTTCAGCTCCACTAGGCTGTGTGGCTCTAAAGGCTCCCTCATTCTTCAAGCCAACCTCCAGCTAAGCCAAGAAAGAGATGTCAGGACAAGTAAATCATAGGCCTTCCAACTCCACTTTCAGGTTTATGTTCCCTACTGCTCTGGTGGAACATCTGGGAACTCCACAAGGCCAATCTCAACTCCACACATTTATTTACTTGCATCAGCTTCACACCCTGTGCTGAGCTCTTTTAATTTTTTTCAGACAGAGCCTACAGCTGTCATCCTGGGTAGAGTGCGGTGGCATGACAGCTCACAGCAACCTCTGACTCCTGGGCTCAAGTGAGTCTCCTGCCTCTGCCTCCCAAGTAGCTGGGACTTCAGGTGCCTGCCACAGTGCCCAGCTATTTTTTGGTTGTGGCCATCATTGTTGTTTGGCGGGACCAGGCTGGATTCGAACCCGCCAGCTCAGGTGTATGTGGCTGGTGCCTTAGCAGCTTAAGCTGCAGGCGTCGAGCCTGTGCTGAGCTCTTAAGGCCACATGTTCTCCTTTTCCTTTCCCTTTTTCCCCTAGACTGGGAACCTCTGAATTTATACAGACCCTTCCTAGAGCTTTATGATGACAGACCACAACTACAAGGAGTTTGGCTCACTGTCCCCATGCATCTGTCATTCATATCAATCCATCAGCCACAAGCTCAGGGTCCTGGTTAACTCCCTTAGGCAGCAAATAAAAGGCCAGAGTCTGGAAGGAGGGCAGCATCTCTGAAGCCACATCAATAATAGCTGGTGTGTAGACACTACCTAGGCTTTTTTTT